TTAAAAACTCAATTCGTTTTGAAAAAAAAAAAAAAAAAAAAAAAAAGAAACCGTCAGAATAAAGACTTTACTCTTTGAAATGAAAGCAAGTAAATTGTCGTACGATCTTCTTTCACAAAGTTATAGCAGTTTAAAGTATCGACGTAATTTTTCGTCGTTATTGGTTCAGTTATACTCCTCGCTGTAATTGCTCCTTAGCGAGCGAATTACGAAGATAAACGAATAAGATCGTCGTAATTGGCCGAGAAATACCTCTGCAATATTTTCATAGCGACAGCAGCTCGAGAAATTATGTTGTTTTCTCGAGTTGTGTCACTGTCGTCCCGAGTACGTGTTAGATTTATTTCCTTGTGCTGAATAATCGATACACTGGTGAGAAACCAACGTACGTTATCGTACGTTCGCTGAATTTATCGTGATTTGCTTGCTTAGCTTTCTCTTCAATTACGTTCGCGATTCTGTGCCGATTAAAGCCTGAGCCGAGTTCGAAAGCTTTTGATGGAATGGAATCGGACGAACGATTAAATCTGCTGGATTTATTTCTCTTTCCGATAAGGTCGACGTACGATTAGAGGTTGACGGAGGCAGATGTTATCGCGTGGTTCGCAATGTTGAATCTTGTCAATTATCAATGAACGATGAGATACACAGATTGAATCCTATCCTCCTCTGAACGTTCTTTGCGCGAGGTGTTTGTTTGCTTGATGATCTGCCTGGAAAGAAGAAAAAAGACAAAGAGTTTCGCAGCGGTATAATAACAATTTATTCGTAATTCGTCGCGATCAAACATTAGATCTTCATGCGAGGACATTTCTTGGCCAGACAAACGATAATTTCATCATTTTCTCTCTCATTTTTTTCTTTTTTTAATACTAATCTTGGCGAGAATATCGAATCATATGTCGATCGCACGTATATAATTAGAATTGTAAAATTTTTTTATTATTAATTTCGATGGTTTTATTTTTACTTCTAATCGATGATACCTCGCTCTTACATTCCCATTGACTTCGTGACGATGTGCTCAAGTTCTAAGAGAAACGAAGCATACCTGAAAGAAAGGGTTCGTCATAAAAATAGTAACTCTCATTAAATATACTCTCATCGTCGTGCGCGAGTCGAAACGGTTTAGAAAAGTTGAGGAAAGGAGGAAAGTTTCTCCCTGCGGCGTGGTAAATTGATAAAAACTCGAGGCAGATTACAATTACAGCCTGAAACGCGTGGCGGGAAAATTTCAAAATTTCATTTACGTTGTTATCAGATTATCATGTGATTACATTGGCAATACACGCATGAAAGTTGTTGATACTTTCGTGAAGCGAGAAAGTATCGTGCGAGAAAATAAATAATAATGTTCCGACGCTGGCAATTTTTTCTTCTTCTTTCGGAGGGGAAAACCACTCGACGTTATCTGGTCAACCCGGTTCGCTATGAAATCAAAGATAATGAAATAAAATTAAAGGGTGGGGGGGGGAGGGAGACACGAGGCCGATAGGGACAAGTATAAAGTCAGCATGGGTCTGTGCTTAGTCGGAGTGCAGATCGTGTGTCGAAGCACTAGTCGTGGGCCTCCTCTCCCTGGGCCAATAACATTCGTCCTTTCACGTGCGGAATTCGAAGCTCGATCAAGGCTGGTCACCTGGTTTTCTTTCCCCGCGTTCATTTTTACTGGTCGTGAAAGTGGGAACTCGCTAGACTAGACCGGACGAAATAAGAAACCACGGCCGTTTCTCTCCTTTCCCTCGCTACAGTGTAGCTACGAGCGCAGCCTAAATAAAATCTAACGAGTCTCTAGTCCGCAGCGGGGGCTCAACAGTTGACAATCGTTTCTCAACGTCGTGGCAATAAAAATATACATTGAAATGCTAACCTGCTACGTCACCGCGATTCAATGCGAGTGGATGCAAAATCGCGGACGTCGCGGGTCGAATCTGGACTCGCGATTCAAGGCGATCACCGCGGGGTAAAATAAACATCCGCGAAACGTCGTTCGTTTGAAATCATTTACATTTGTCTTCTTCTGTCTTATTGCAGAAACAACGTGAACGTGGAGGGAGCCACCCACAAGCAAGTGGTGGATTTGATCAAGTCCGGTGGCGATGTACTAACGTTGACCGTCATCTCCGTTACGCCGCAGGAAGCAGAGAAGCTGGAACCATTTGAGGATTTAAGGTGATTTGATAGTTACACGCATGGTAAGCCTCAAACGAGGCTTTAGCTTAGTTTAACATCTATTAACTCTGCTGTTCTCATTGGTATTGTTGTGTCATCTAATAGCGATCTTTCTTAGAGTCATGTTTAAAATAATGAGAGATTGTTAACTGTGGAATAGTTTCATAATATCGAGATTTCTTACTTCCTTGTATTCCTTCCTCTATTATATAGTTTCTAGCGTACTTTGAATAGACACGGTTCTACTTTTTGGTGTATTTATATTGGCCAATTACGCTTTCTCCTAGTTATGCATCGGTGGACTACAGCGAGAAGCGATCCCTACCTATCAGCGTGCCGGATTATCACGTCCGCGAGAGGAAGCACGAGCGTTATGTGGTTTTCAACCTTCACATGGCAGGCAGGCATTTGTGCTCGCGACGTTATCGTGAATTCGCCGCTCTGCATATGGCGTTGAAGAAGGAATTTATCGGCTTCAACTTCCCTAAGCTGCCGGGGAAATGGCCATTCCAGTACGTTATCTGTATCAAATCCATACATTTCAACGTCAGTTTCAACCGTATTTGTACGTATTTCTTGTATCGCACTTGTGCGTAGATTGAGCGAGCTCCAACTGGACGCGAGGCGACGCGGGTTAGAACAATACTTGGAGAAGGTTTGTGCGGTGCGTGTAATTGCCGAAAGCGATATCATGCAAGAATTCTTGGCTGATAGACTGGAAGAGGACGGGGATCAAGGTCCAGCGGTTGATTTGAAAGTATTGTTGCCGGACCGCGAGGTTGTTACCGTTACGGTTGCTAAGGCTGCCTCTGTCAGCGACGTGTACGACGCAGTTTGCAGCAGAGTGGGTCTAGACGCGGAAACAGCGAAATACTTTTATCTCTTCGAGATTGTCGAATACAATTTCGGTACGTAATTGGAGGATCAATGAATCTAATCGTTTGACATTACACGTACGTGTATCCAGCGAGATGCCATTCTAATGGAACTTCATTCGTTTTGCAGAAAGGAAATTGCAACCTCACGAGCATCCTCACACGCTGTACGTTCAAAATTATTCGACCGCCAGCGTGACGTGTTTAGCAATAAGAAGGTGGCTTTTCAATGTAAATAGACCATTGAGCGAGCAGGCGTTAACCTGGATCTTCTGGCAGACGGTGGACGAAGTTAATAGGGGACACATCACCGCCGGTGAAAGATTGTACCAGTTGAAAGCATTGCAAGATGCGTCGAGGAAACACGAGGTACAAACGAGTGTCTGTTCCGTTGTAACAGTCTAGATTCTAGACTGTAGATTTGAGAATATAATAGAAAAGATAATGTCATCGTAAAAGTGTTACAAAAGAAGAAAAAAAAAAAAACGCTGTACTTTGAATAACTTTTTTCTAAAAATTTTAGTTTAGTTCCTCTAATATATTGGTATGGTTGTCGATTTCGAAAATCTTGCGTATTCACGTTGCATTTTTATTCTCCCGTTTTTTAGTACCTAAAATTAGCGAAAGAATTGAGCGGTTACGGCGACATAGTGTTCCCTCACTGCGCGTGCGACTCGCGGAAGGAAGGACACGTTGTTCCCGCCGTAGGCACGCCGGCATTCAAGCTACACGCGGCGAAGGAAGACGGCACTTTGGAATCTCAAGTTGTTGAATTTCAATGGAACATCATCACACGATGGGAGGTAGACGAGGAAGGAATGGCGTTCTGCTTTCAGTATACGCGTCAAGACAACCGTCCACCACGTTGGCTCAAGCTTTTCACACCTTATGTAAGTACTGAAGAAGTTCCTCTTTTTTTCCTTCTTGTTTAAAAGATGAATAACACGTGTCATTGCAAATTGACTGCAATTATTTCTTTTGATAGCAGAGTACTAGTTTACAATGACTCATTCTATTTGGTACCTCTGGACATTTTGTCACAATAGTTAGTAATCTGTTTACTCATTATATATACAGTGACAAAAATATTGTCGATATCTTTCTATAAATATATAACGTGTGTTATACATCCATTAGCACTGTAATGCAACACTCAACTATCATGATATTGCGTAGATAAAATTTTTTTAAGGATTTTAGAAACGCACGTATAAGTTGCAAAATATTTATCAAGTATACGTTTCGCAGAAATTATAAAAGTCTTGAAATAGGTTTCATGAATAAGTCATTTCATGAATAAGTTATATACGTGTGTTTGCAGTAAATACCTTGTATATATTTTCAGATTGGGTTCAAACTTTTCTAATACAAAGCAGTCGCGTGTCATTATGATTCTGATTAAATTTCAAAATGTTTCACAATGTATGCATAGAAATCTATTGTGATAAGCCACTGAGGATGTGTGGTATCCCATCTTTTCTTTTTCTCTATTACATCGTTGCAATTTAAATAAATTACCTCACGCATGTATTTACGATCGAACACGTTGCGTTTTGTTCGCAGTACACGTTCCTGTCAGATTGTTTCAATCGAATAGCCGAAGAAGCGAAATGGGACGATCCAGGCGAATGAGGCAACGCTCGGCATTAAAAGTCACGTATGGTGCATAATAATAGCAAAGGTATCGTTTCATCGGACACATTTCACTTATCTTTGTAGCAAGGACTTTTTGATTAGGATTACTTTTTCTAAGGCGATTCGGAAACTAATAAGACACACTAATCATATCGGACTCTTGCTTTCGAATACGCATTGCATTACGTATCATTGTACACTTCTTTTATGGTGTTTCAAACACGAAATGCGCTGCTCGATAATTAATTACTTCTCTTTTCGTCTTGTTCTAAACAAGGTATAGCAAACATCAGCATCTAGGTGATAATGACAATTCTATCGTAGATTGCGGTACTTTAGTTAAGGAAAAGAAACAAAAAAAAAAAAAAATAACAACTAGGTGATCGCGTTAAGTTTTGTGTAAGATATTGTTGCTACTTCATGCTAAAACACCAGACACTAGATGAACCTATTTTTTGGCCTATCATTCACCGTGTAACAACGTGTATATCTTTGGATACCGATCGAGAGAATCATTGAACACATGAAACGTTCCTTTTTACTAGCCTAATGATAGGTATCGCCCGAATTTTCGTTCGAACATATGAAGTTAACCAAGTATTATCATT